AACCATGCTAATCTTTCCCGACCAATCCTTAGAATCCCTAAAACTTTCCTTGTTTTGAGTATGGATCCTATGATTCCAGTAGTACGGGCCCAATACTACCTTCCACACCTATCCATATTTTCCTCAAGAATCATCTCGGGTCCTCTAGGACCTACACATAATAATACTTTTGATACTTGCTTAAAAATGGACTATTACGCTAAAAAAATACTTACTAGGCTCTTCTAAGATCCCCCACCTCCCCTGCCATCAGCTACTGAAGAACTCCTCATAATGTCAGTTAGCTACCTCGTGAAGACAATTACATGTAGTAAAGCTTAGATAATCCTTCAAGTAAAAGAATCATCCTACAACGGTTAGACTCAAACAAGATTTGCGCAATAAGGTCAAACCCATCTCTCTAAGATTATTCAAGCTTTATTACGTGTGACTTAATATATTCACTTAACAACTAACTCACATCACTTAAGATTCCCACAAACCACAAAGCAAGCAATATTCCAGCAATGGAGTCGACTGGCACTAAAATACATTAAGTCAGACACATCCTCATACGAAATCCTCGATGCCTATCTCCCAGCATCTCAGATACACACTAGCATACTCACACACTCCATCCTCACTACCTAGAGAAAGGTTAAACATATCACTACTGGCCGGCTAATCCCACATAACTCATCCTACCACCAACTACCCCACGACCCTCTATTGGTGCCAGATAATTATCCCATGAACACTGTCACAAACTACACAACCTAAATAATCTTCAGCTAAAAGATTCAATCCTACAACGGTTGGGCTCAGACAAGAGATGCACAACATGACTAAATTCTTTACCGTAAGACTATTTAACTCATGCAGTATGCTCACACCTGAAAGTGTAAAAGAATAATCAGCCAGGGATTTTATAAGAGATACAACATCATATATCAGGAAATTCTATCATACAATTCCTGAAGATCCCTATCCTAATACTAGCATGCAGTTCTAACATAACATAACATAATCTCAAATAAATGTGTAGTAATTTAGGGTCTACTTATTGGCTTCGACTAATCGTACACGTCACATCCTCCTTGATTATTTTGAAAACCATTTTTAAATTTTTTTTCCTTAGTTGAGACTGGATTCACACGAGTGTTCCTCCAATTCACTCAAACCAAGCCTCTGATACCAACTTTTAACATCCCAAATTTTCAACAAATTAACATTTTTCAAAACAACTCCTTTATCTAATAGATATGTTAAAAAACCATTGCTTCAAAACATTATTTAAAATATGAGTCTCCTAAGATCCAATTAGTTGTAAAACTAAGAATATGTACGGTCATGCCTTTGACTTGTCACGGTCCACTAACTTACCTGAAACCATAAACCAAAACTATAAGCACAAAGCTTAGTGAGTTTCCCCCAAAGTACCACCACACAAACAGATAACATGTTCTAACAAACAACATACTATGGTTCCAATCAACCATCGGGTTGGAATACCCCATGCCCTTCAACCAGCGGGTTGGAATGCCAACATATTATGGGTCCAATCAACTATGAGGTTGGAATACCCCAGGCCCTTAATCCTCGAGTTGGAATGCCAACATAATATGGGTCCAATCAAATATTCGGTTGGAATACCCTATGTCCTCAACCATCGGATTGGAATTCCAACATACTATGGGTCAAATCAACCATTGGGTTGGAATACCTCATTCCCTCAACTATTGGGTTGGAGTGCCAACATACTACGGGTCCAATCAACCATCAAGTTTGAATACCCCAAGCCCTCAACCATCAGGTTAGAATGACAACATACTATGTGTCTAATTGTCCTCGGGATAGAATACCCTCGGGCCCTTTTAACCATCGGATTGGTATGCCCTGGCATGTGGGCTTACGCACAAAGTAGTGAAGCCTCAACCACCGACCAAACATGTGTACATATAATAGATAATCATATAATAGTCTACAGCCAGTCAAACAGATCTATAAATTACTAAGCATAACATCATCCTATATACCATGAGACTGATGTTACAGATCACTAAATCACAATAGCATGCATAACAACATATCAATCCAACAAGCTGGCATTGGTGCCTTCGACTTGCAAGAACAGTGAGAAAAACTCACCTCTCAATATGATCCATAGCTAAGAAGGATCGAATATGAATCTTGGCTCTTTAACCGATACCTGTATCCACAAAGTGACCAATTTCGTCAAAATCTCAAAATACTTAAAGTACCCTCAAGGTCCAACTTAGTCAAAGTCAACGGTCATGGTCAATAGTCCATGTTGACCCCACACGCCATGTTGACTTAAAAACACGTCGTGTTCCTCCTGCACCCAAACAGTCGAGAAAATGCCGACCAAAATGCTATGTTGACTTTGAACATGTCGTGTTTGCTGAAGATCTAATAGCTTAATACGTTAAGCCATTTTCCTTGATTCCAAGTGATCCAAAGCTCAAGTCTAGTTCGAAACATGATCAATAAGGATAAAGTTTCCAACTTTATCCATTGGGACTACCCAAAAAGGTCCAACACCCAATCCATAAAGCTTTAAAATGCAATGGCTTGACCAATTAGCACTAAATTCTTAAAGTCTGAAATCCATCTTTTCCAGAAGTGATTCTAACATAAAAACCATCCCAAAGGTTGGTGCTTTTTAGACATACATGTTAGTATTAAAACCTAGTTAGATCGAATAGATTCAAACAGGTAAAGAATAGGAACAAAGCAAACAGATGAAAATATGTTGAATGATTATAAGTCATAGCCTCAGAAGAACTCGATAAAGAATTGCTACTGTAGAGGAGTGTAGGGTTATAAGACTATTTCCAAAGTTACAAAACACGATGCATGCATGCACCTTAAATACTATAACCCTAATAATAGAGGACTGGTGGATAGGCTCAACCCGTTTACAAAATGGACTAAATAAATAATCACAATGAGGCAACACATATACCCAACAATCTCCCCCTTTGCATCAATCGAGGCGAGAGTCCATTAAGGCTGAGTTCGCTTCTGCACTTCAAAAACTTTCGGAATGATGTTTTGTAAAACCTTGCGAATCTGGATGTACCATACAATCATATCCGAAAAACACTTCTTGTCGCCCTTGCTGTTGCCCTTGTATTTGTTGACCATGTCCAAAATGTACTCCAGGCGAGAGGTAGTTTACAGATGTTTATCAGGGAGGAAGAAACAGGCCTGATGAAAGTCTGCATCGTTTCGTTCTCACGCCTGAAATACCACATACCATCCTTCCTTGTATATCTTTCCAGGTTTCAACTTCTCAAAACCTTTTGGGACTTCTTTGGGAAGAATAGAGGGCTTCCTTCATAGTACGACAACAATTTCCACATCCATTTTGCCTACGTTTTTAGCATACGAAACTAGTGTCAGTTTGAGGCGAGTAATAAAAAGCTCGTACTTTTTCCTGTCTCTCAATAATAATTTGTAAAGCATGATCCAGTCATAGGGATTGAGGCAAGGCAGGTCTACAAGAGTGAATTCGTGAACCTGACTAGATGAACCTCTCACAACCTTGAACTTCGTATTTGGGAAGTTGTCGATTTCGATTGGACCTGTGACCTTTACTGTTGTAATCTTGCTAGTACTCCATGTTTTGTATTGGGCCTTCATATGCTTGAGATAAAATGTGAAGAGCAAATGATCGGTGCCACTACCAGTGTATGGGACATTCACTACTTTCACAAAGGAGCAAAACTTGAAGGATTTCGGAGTTATTGGAGGGTCCAGCTGCGAATCTTGTGTATTCTGAAGCTCGAATGACAAAACTGGTTCCCGCCAATATTGACTCGACATATCCACATATTCGTTCTGAATTGACTTGAAACTCCACTCCATAAATAAAAGCTTTCGACTTTCCAGTGTGAACTGAGCTTCGTGTTCTAATTTCTCTTTCGCTTCAGCCTTGCACATTATTCTTGATGCTCATCCATCTGAGCTTCACGTTCTTTTCTTATTTTGAGATTGTTTTCATCAGACTCTTCATCTTTGATATTATCAACAATTGGCTCATCATTAAAAAGTTTGTCTTTGCCTTTAGGCTCGAATTTGCTTTTGACAGTGTGCTTTACTGAAGGTTTGGGGTCTTCCTTCTTGGATTGTGACACATCTTCCCCCTTGTTTCAGAATAGAGCTTGATTTTGGAACACCTTCCAGTCTGTGAAGCATGGTGAAGACGGGCCTTAGATTTTCAGAAAGATGCTTCTTTACCGTGATCGTGATCATTGAGTCTCGAGTCTCAATGATATCTGAAAGTAGGCTAGTGACGTCTACGATACAACTTTTCATATTAGTTTTTTCAGATAAAAAGTCATTGACTTGTTTCTTAGCATTCTCTAGTTTGACTGTCAAGACTTTCACCTTTTCAATATTAATGACAAGAACATCTATTATTTTGCTCTCCATAGTTAGGCCATCTTGAAGCTTAGATATTTGCAAGGAGATGGATGAATTGAACTGATCATGGTCTATTTTAAGACCAGTGCGAACCTCTGAAGTTTTTCCTTTTATGTTTTAAGTGTTGAGCCTAGGCTAGAAATGAATTCATTAGCTTTTGCAGTGTTGGACTCAAAAGGATCTCTAAAACTTATCCATGAATAATTGTGCATAAATATTTAGTTTATCGACTATTTTGGTCATGTTGTAGCAAACAATAGCAGAAGCATCTACTGCCTTGTTCAACTTTTCAAGGTTGGCGAAGTGCTCTTTTGTAAGGGTCTCAAGAAGGGACTTGACCGTTTCTTAAGAATAAACATCATTGTATGAGTACTTTGAAGCTTGAAGCAAAGAATCCAATTTTTTTGTGTATAGCCTTCAGTTTCCCTTTCGTGACAGGAGCTTCCTCATCACTTTCAGTCCTGAAGTTAAATGGATAGTAGGTGAATCCTGCGAAGTCTTCGTCATCATCACCGAATATCATATCTAGGTCATTTTGGCGAAGAGAGGAAATGGGTGGTGTGGAATGACCAGTTGCGAAACTTGAAGCTCCTGCCCCCACATTAGATGCATTGATAGAAATAGGAGTGCTCAAACATTGTTGTTCGTGTGGTGGTAGAATCAGTGAAAATAGGTGGGTATTATGAAACGCCCAATGAGACAGGTGAGCACGGAACAATAGTGATGGGTGTGGAAACGGTGGTAGTAGGAGAGGGAATAGAGACATTCACAACAAAATCAGTGGAAATAGGAACTGAGAAAGGACTTTCAATAATTACCTCAGGATTCATAGAAATCAGCTGTGAAACCTCAGGTTTTCAAGTTGTTACAGTGTCTTCGTTTTGTACAGGCTCACCCCCTTCAATGTGAATGTATGATTGAGTGTCAGACTGTGAACGTTCTCTTTCACTGGGAGTTGGAGATCTGGGTTTACGAGCTGCCTTCTTTGTTGTAGTAGGAGCTAGTGCATATGAGCCAGCTTGTGCCTTTCGTTTGTTGGGGATTTTAGCAGATTCGGATGGAACCTATTGAGCACTTTGTTTATTTTCTCCTTTCTTACGTCCTTTCTGCCCTCCTTTCTTTGGTTTGTCAAACTCATCGATTATCGATTGAATCTCAGGAGTCAAAGGACGAAAGCCTGAAACAGGAAGTTTTCTGTAAGCTTCAAAAATTTTACTTGCTGCAGGAACATTAGTAAACATGACTTCAAGAATGGAGCCAACAAATGAGAACTTGGAGTTGTTAGCAAGAATGATGTTGGTAGAGTGAAAGATTGAGATTCCAGACATGAAGGAGTCATGCATCACCAGAATCTAGAGCTTCTCAGTTGCCCTTCAAACGATTATTGTCCAAAAGTGAGCACAAGAGATTTCATTGGTCAAGTTGTAGAATGGGTACTTCGGACCAATTGAGCCTAAAGAACAACCCCAAAATCGATGTTGATTCCAGTGTAAATCCCATACATGATAGTCATAAATAACTTACTGGCACAATCCGAGCCAACCATACGCTCCGAAAAAGTTTTTAACAAAAAGGTAAAGAGCCCATTCCATTGTGGTGGCAAATTGGGCTTCCTAAATTTGGAGATGGTAGTTAGGGTTTATTTGTACCCCATTTGGTAGAACATCTCCATGACGGCGGCGATGGAGATGGAATCAGGGTCTACCAGATCATCACTTTGATCAAGCCCTAGTAAGGGACAAAAGCGAGACTTGGTGATTGAGGTTTTTCTGTTGTGAACTTCAAAGGTGATTCTTTGTTCCTCCTTGATGTAGCAAGCAGACGAGTAAGCTTTGGATAAGAGAGACATTAGAATGATCTCAGATGTGGTCAAGGCTTTAACCAGAGGAGATTATTTCAAGCACTCGAGAATAGGTAGCAAGAAGTTGTCATACTTGAGAAGATCGAGACCGAGAATCAAGTTTTGATTTGACTTGAACGCAAGAAGCGATGGCTAAGTAGATTGATCTTGAACTGAAGGGGTTTCTAATGAGGTGGCCATGGATGCTTGTTGAAGAAGATGATGAATAATAGAGAGAAAAATCAAATGAGGGTTTTGAAATCTTTTAATAATGGTGAAGAATGATGAAGCATTGAAAAACCCTTTATATCGTTAACAAGGAGAGAGAATATGGGGTGATGGTTGTGTTTTCTCCTCTGAAACGTCGCCTAAAAAGACGTGATGTGACAACTGTTATGTCAGAAAAATGTGTCAGGCGGCAGAAAACCAGGCGGCGTTTCAAATATCACGCACCCATTTGAAATCATATCCATTAGAATTGCTGCTTCAGTTTTTCCCTTTCGTAGTTAAGTTACATACCATCTTTCACATGATTACATGAACTTTCACTTTTAAGTAAACTCCAGTTGAACTGTGAAACTAAAAATAAAATGTGAGTGCCTCGAACCAGACTTTTGGAAAATCACAAGGATCTCCGTGCAGGAGTGTGCCAAAGATAATGAAACAAAGCAGAGCATATATGTGGGATTTTTGTGATGTCATGTTTAAAACATGAAATAGTGGATCCCGGGCAAAGATCTCTTCCTTTGAAGTCAAGAGAGACTAAGAAGTGTCTGTGTGGTTCCCCATTGAATTACGATCACTTGTTTATTATGAAACAATGAAATTAATCTTTTAAAAGGCTTTATTGGGTGCTTTTATCTCCAATAAAACTATGAAACTTGGTATAAGTTCGAAAGTTCGAATGGAGTATTTGTTTGACCAATGTAGTCAATTAAACAAGTAAGCGTTGGAATTATTTTAAGTGAGATGGATTTGCATGGAAATGTCAAAAATAAAAAATGGATCTATTGGGTAGAAATGTCTTAGGTCTAGAACATTTCATTAAGATCTCGCAAAAGAAAAAGAGATTTCTTGGTACAGACCATGATAGTGGAGTTTCATTAATTCCTTGGTGAAGAGTCTAGAACATGTATATTGTTTACTGTCAACTCGTATAAGTGTGTAAGATTTTTGGTTTCACTCAATTCATGGTGATAACGAATTGAAGATCATAAACACAGAAATTGTCTAACCATAAGCCTCAGTGGTAATATTTGAGAGTCTCGAGGGTTATATTGGTGAATGCGAAAGAGATGGAGAAGAGTATGAGGTGGTTCCAAATAAAGTAGTGTACCTCTGCTATGTGAAAGTGACCACGCAATGAATTCTTAACTCATAATGAGAAGAGTAAGGTAGCTCGAGACTTATGTGAATGAAAAACCTTATTAGGAAGAAACGATTGGTGTTATCATATCATTAAGGCTTCAACATAGAGTCTTTGAGACTTTAGACAACATGCAAAAGCATGCTTCTAGGGACACTTAACTAGTACATAGATAAAAAAGTTTATACCTGCCCCATTATTCGTATTTTGAGATCATCAAGGTTCTTGAGAGGAAACCTGCTCAATTATCCAATAATTTTGGTATTTTGAAATAAGTAGCATAAGAGAGAAGAAGATAAAAAAAATAAAGAAAAATAGATAAAATATTTTTGTAATTTTGATTTTCTAAAAAGAAATAAAAACAGAAAGAAATATTTTTGGATTTTTGATTTTCCTAAAATTAAACAAAAACAAATGAATATTTTTGTATTAAAAAAAATAAACATAATTTATAAAAGGATATAAAACGCTCCAAACCACGAATGAACAGTTGATCCTGGGATACTTCAAGCTTTTGTATGGAGTAGCAAGAAAAGGAAGACTGCGAATTATTGCGAGCATTTACACCGATTCGCAGGACAAAAATATGATTGTGAATTACTAAGAGCATACGCATGGATTTGTATGACATCCTATAGACTGCGAAACCGAAAGTGTAACCAAAAGTGATAGTGTCACTATGAAAGCGAAAGTGGTTTTGGAACAAATTCAGCTTCCATCATTCCTAAGCCTTGAAGAATATGATTGAATGTTGATTCTGATAGGGATTTTATGAATATGTCAACTAATTGATCAACATATCTATGATAATGTATCTCAACATTGCCATCTTCTACATGATCTTTGATGAAGTGATACCTCAGTGCTATATCTTTCATCTTTGAGTGTTGCACTGGGTTCTGACAAATGTGAATGACACTTTTGGAGTCACAATATTGTGGGATTTGTTTCATGTTCAGGCCATAGTCACGAAGTTGACTTTGAATCCATAAGACCTGAGAAGTGCATGAGGCAACTACTATATACTTGGCTTCAGCTGTTGATAAGTAAACACAGGTTTGCTTTTTGGATTGCCAAATGACTAGTTTGCCATCAAGAAATTGACATCCTCCAGTTATACTCTTTCTATCTAAACCGCATCCTCCAAGATCAGCATCCGAAAATGCTTGTACAAACAAACCACACTTTAAGGGGTACCATATTCCAAGTAAATATGTTCGTTTAAGATACCTGAATATGTTCTTGACAGTGATCATATGAGGTTCTCAAGGATCATCTTGAAACATAGCACAATAACAAACGAAAAACATG